TGTGAAAATAACGGCGAGGATGTCAAGGGCAAGAACTGACTGGTACTCTGCTGCCTTTCCTTCCCTTCGCTGTGGCTGTCTTTCTGTCGAGAATAGAAGCAAGTGACGCATCTAAAGTGCAGCGCATTTGTACTTTCTAAAGCCCTCATCATTTACTGGCAGTGTTCTTGTGCTCGTGGAAGTCAATGGAGAGCGGAGAGTTAAATCGACTTAAAACTTTCGTGACTGCAGGAACTTATAGTCTTTGGTTTTTTCGATAAAGTCACCTAGATATTATATTATTTCATTTGCATTATTTTTTTCTATCTACGTGACTTTACCAAAAGAACCAAAGAATAGCGGATAGTTAAATTATTATTTTCAGAATAACAATCAAGTTTTAGTCAAAAATCTTGTCTGCGAAAATAAAGGTTTAATAATTCTAACATAGCACAATCACGCTTTGTCCACTGTGTTGATTGTTAGCGTGCACGTTCCTGTGACACCAGCAATGAAAGTCAAGATAAAATACTAGTGTAGTGACACAGCGCCGGCCGCTGTCCAGCAGCTGCAACTGCAGGTAGACACTTAGTGCACACGCCGCTGAGCATATACATGGGTGTGCCGGCAGGGCGGAGGAACTGGGGCAAAGGCCCCCCGTATAGCCTTAACAGACTGGGAAAGTGCTGTTAGTGAGCACCTATGAAGGCGGTGTCGCGGGTTTACGCTACGCTGCGCTACAAACCCGGCGGACCCGAGTTCGATTCCCGCTCACGGCCAACACCGGTGACGATTATCTGTACCGGTCCTGGGCTTCCCCCTAGGTCAACTCAGCCTCAAATGAGTACGTGGTGCGGTGTGTGAACATCGCCACTGGAGAGACAAAGGCGGCCGGTCGCGGTGCTGGCCACGCACCCCCTTCGTGTGCCATGCCAGCCTTCATCGGTGCTACTCGTTAATAGCACTTGCCCCAACAGTCTGCTACGGGGCTACACGGGGGATCTTTGTCTTTGCACGACGCGAAAATGCACGGGAAAGGGAGCCGGCGTGCGTAAGAGAGTGAGAGAGTGAAAGAGTGAGAGAGAGTGAGAGAGTGAGACCCCCACACACGTTTTTTTTTTCTTTGACAAAATCCGTCCGCGAGCCCGATGGCGCTGTGTGGGGGCCAGCGCGTCTAATAGGGCGTCTTTATCTCCGCGACCAGACCAGTGAAAACGCAAAAAGCCTTCTGCATCAAGGGGAATATATATCACCCACAACAGTGGTGGGGAGGTGGGGGCAATGGTAGATGTCTCGGCGCTTCTGCTGCTGACTTGTAATGATAGCCCAAGAGTTCTGTTGAACGCGAGCACGCTGGAATGCGACAACGGAGAATTTTGCGTTTGCATGTTTTCCCAAAAAAGGAATCTCTTCAAATAGTGCCTGTGGTTATCGCCCGACGCAATAACGCTGCCACATGGGTTGCGCGTGCGTGTGGTTATGCGCGTGTGCAATGTGTGCGCGTGTGTGGGGAACGGTAGTGTGGCGGTCAGCGCAACGATGCGCTACGAACCCGGCGGACCCTAGTTCGATTCCCGCTCGCGGCCAACACCACGTGGCGATTATCTGAACCGGTCGTGGGCCTCTCCTCTAGGTCGACTTAGCCTCAAGTGAATGCCTGGTGCTATGTGTAAACATCGCCACTGGGGGAGACAAAGGCGGCCGGGCGTGGTGCCGGCCACCCATCCCCACGTGTGCCGTGCCGGCCTTCATAGGTGCTCGCTAACAACACTTGCCCCAACAGTTTGTTAACGCTATACGGGGGATCTTTGTCTGTGTTTACTTGGCACAACTGGTTAAAGGGAAGCAATAGTGAGTGCATGATAACAACTGTTATAGACATCTCGCTTGTTTGCACGGTCCTAGGACGGAAGCTGTAATATTTACGAAAAAATGTAGCAGAGTATAATTGTATCTTGTGTAAATTTAATGGCAGTGAATCTTGCACAAAAGTATGTCATCAAACACTTCACTGCAGTTCACTTTAGCAGTGTATATAACTTCAATTTGTAAAAAATCACTGCTCTGATACTTTATTCTCTTCTGCTTTCGGTCGCTGGGGTTGACATACATCTGAATTCGATACAATAACTGGAAGAAAAAAATATTTACCATAATGTAGAAACATAAATTAAACTTATCTTTAGTCTCAAGTGCTGAATAAATAAATACAGACACCAAATCCACTTTTTTGCTGCGTATAATTATTTATTAGATTCACGTTCAATAAAAAAAAGTCAAACTTAAAGCGAATTTGCAAAAAAAATGTCTTTCCGCTCGACCTTCTTCTGCGTGAGTGTCAAAAATCCACCCGCTCATGAATATTCATGACAGGGGGGGGGGGGTACGGCATGTGGAGTGACGTCACGCGCGTTACACACAAACAGACATTCTTGGCTCATTATAGTAGGAATGTGTGTGTGCCTACTGATAGCGTAAATACATGTGCTTGTGAGCGTACACGTGTGGATTTAGACCAGTTATGCAAAGAGCAGTGTGTTAGCCATCTCATAGCGCCGAATTATTCGCTGACCACATTTAGATTGTAATAACCACCTTTTAAAATACACCACAATTATCGTTGTCAACTCCACAGTTAAGAAGCCATTACATAAAAAAAACACATTCGCTCCGACTGGAAATGTCAACAGCAGCAAGAGCCATTTTTTTTGGTGTGTGTCAGGGCTCACTTTGAAGTAAGGGGGAAATTGCTACTTAATTTGTATGGTGAGTTTTGTGTCTTCGAAGCACCGATTGTCAGCCCATAATTGTTTTCTTTTTAAACGTGGGTGTTTTTTTTTCCAATCTCGGTGCATGGCCAATTGCACCGGCAACTGACCAAAAGTTCAAGAAATCGTCTTTATCCACGTGTCACATGCAATGACCCCATATCATTAAAGCATCATCAGACACCTAAAAAAAAACTATGACTAGCGTATAAGAATAGGTGCTTATTAAGGAAATTGCTCGAATGAGCTTCCTTGCACGCCTGTAATCTGACAGGAATCCCTGCAATGCTCAAGACGGCGTAGCTGCTGCACATTTTTTAGCTATTCCGCTCGAGAAATGTGAAGAAACAGACCGGTCCGTTTCAACGATATAACGATAATGCTTTAGCAAAGTTAATCGCGTGTTCAGTGAAGCTTTCCAGCATTACCTATCACCTTACGCGTGACAATTAGGATGAAGTGGACATCAGGGAATATAAAGTTATGCTCCGTGAGACTCAATAGAATACTCTATTTTCTATTTTAGTGCCATTGGTTATAAGTTAACGAATTAAAAAACGGAGACAGCCCCTTATCAGAGGCGATGTTCTCAGGACTTGATGTAAGCGAGGTCTATCTGCCACTTAGTATTTCCCCGACCCAGTACATCAACATCCAGGGTACCTCTTACTGTGGCTGCAGCTACGAGCCGTGCAAATGCACCCATTGTTTACAAAAGTGGAACAAACAGACACGGAGTCTTACTATAAATAGCCTCAACGAACAAACAACCCTCTCATGGGGTCAATATATGGAGCTGCGGCGTCACTCCGTGAGCACAAAATAAAGCAGGTTGAGTTGGAAAATATAATTGTTTAAAACCAACCACAAATACCGTGACTCTTTTTTTAACCAGTATAAATGGGTACAGCACATTGATAACACTGTGTAACAATTATTTTTGTTGTTCCTGGGTAGTAAGTGTTATTTCCTAATTGCTTATGCCCCAAAAGTACAGAAAATGGCTATTATTCCCCAGAACTTTGCTTTTGTGACCAGGACATTGATATTTTGAAATGTAACTATTTTCCAGAACATCCCAGATAGATTCAGTGGTGAGTAAACTTGGAATTACTTCTAGAACATTCTAGAACTTTCCAGTAATATAAATATTAGTATAAATACAGGGGCCTAAAGCCCACCAGTTCAATTTAGTTCCAGCTGCCTAAGTGGATACATATCTGCATTTTTCTGAGATGCCATCAAGAGGCTGCAAGCATCCGGCAGACGCATTTTGCTATGTCTGCGGCCAATTTATCAAGACAAGAGCGAAAAAGTACTCTGTGGAAGCATCTGCTAAGATGTGTGAGGCCTACAAGGACATATTTCAGCATGCTTGTCGGGGAGCAAGACAAACCCTGGGCACATCATTTCACCTGCGAACAATGCAACACAAACTCTGGAAGGTAAGATGGACAATTGTTGCTCGGAATTTTATGTTATAAAATTTAAAAAATTGTAAAAGTTTAAAAAATTGTAATGTTTTACAATTTTCAATGTTATTGACAAAATATATCATATATGAAAAATGTTGCGATAATCTCTTACACATTAGTCATGGGTGAAATAAATGTATTTTTGTAGGATGGTACAGAGGGGAAAACAGAGCCATGAAGTTCACTATCCCAAGAATTTGGCAGGAACCCACTGACCACTCAAGCAACTGCTACTTCTGCATGGTGGACCCTTCCAAACGTCGGACTGGAAAGAATCCACCTGCTATCACGTATCAGGACCTTCCTTCATCCATCGCCCCGGTGCCACACTGCCATGTGCTCCCCGTACCCACTCCTCCGGAGAGAGAGCAGCCGTCTTTAGAAGAGAGCGGGAAGTCAGAGAGCAAGGAAGACGTTGTAGATACAAATGACAATTTCAGAGGTGGAGCTGAGGAGAGAAACACATACTACTGCAACCAAAAAGACCTCAACGACTTGATCAGAGATCTTGGTCTCACCAAGTCCAATGCCGAGCTTTTGACGTCTAGGCTCAAGCAGTGGAACTTTTTGGCTTAAAGTGTGCAAGTCACAGATCAGAGGAAGCGTCACCAACCTTTTTGCAGCTTATTCTTGGTTCTTTCGGTAAAGTCACGTAGAAGGAAAATAATAAAATAAAACAATAAAATTCTCACGACGTTTCGGCCACAACGCAAGCAGCCGTCCTCAGGTGAAGAACAGAGCTGTCGGAAAGACAGCGTCCTAATTATTTCCCTTCTACATGACTTTACCGCAAATAATCTCGAACATGAATCCCTGCAGTCACGAAAGCTTTAAATTGACATTTTTGCAGCTTTTTCACCCGTCAAGATGGGCTCTGCTTCTGCCACAATGTGACCAGTCTATTCGAGGCAATCGGAATCGCCTATAACCGGAATGAGTGGCGCCTCTTCACTGACAGCTCATCCAGGAGCCTCAAAGCCGTGCTGCTCCATACTGGTAACAAGTACCTGTCTCTTCCCCTGGCTCACTCAGTGCACCTCAAAGAGGATTACAACAGCATCAAGACCTTGCTGGACGCCTTGAAGTATGATGAGTATGGCTGGGAGATCATCGGAGACTTTAAAATTGTGGCATTCCTGATGGGTCTCCAAGGCGGTTTTACCAAGTTCTCCTGCTATCTTTGCCTTTGGGACAGCAGGGACACCAAGGCGCACTACCACAGGCGGGACTGGCCACAGTGGACCGAGTTCTCTGCGGGGAGGAACAACGTCAAGTGGGAGCCACTGGTGGACCCTCGGAAGGTGCTGATGCCACCACTGCACATCAAATTGGGCCTTATGAAACAATTTGTCAGAGCTGTAGATAAGGAGTCGGCAACCTTCAAGTACCTTCAATACTTCTTCCCTAAGCTGTCTGAGGCAAAGGTCAAAGCCGGTGTCTTCGTCGGACCACAGATAAAGAAGATCCTGGAGTGCAATGAATTCAGCCAAGAAGCTCACTAGCAAGGAGAAAGCGGCTTGGGACAGCTTTGTCGCAGTGGTTGGTGGCTTCCTGAGCAATCACAAGGTCGAAAACTATATGGAGCTGCACCATTGGTACCTCATTTGCCAGTAACAAAATATGATAATTGTTTTTTTTACCTTTTATCTGGCAACAAAACTGACACCTTTTTTACAAGGAGTCATGTTTGCATTGACCACAACACCTGCAGTCGTAATGCAAACAAAAAACATAACTCTGATAATGTATGCACTGTCCTTAAAATTGATTGGTCCACACCCGAGACAGCTTTCTTTAGAGCCTAGTCTCACATGGTGTTGAGTTGTGCGCCTTTTGCCAATATGCAAATTTATTTGGTTTTTCAGTCAACCGGAATGTTGAAAAGCTGTCCAACTTTTGCTTGCTTTGTGGAGAAGGAAAAAACATCATCTTGTTCATTCCTATTTTCCTATTATCCATGATAATTTTCGATATACTTCATTTAGCATGCAGTGCCACACTACAGCGTATCCACAATATTCATGTATAACGGGGACTATTTGTAGCTCACGGCAGTGCAGGGTATTGCACTCTCATATTCTGCGTTTCGTGGTTGTTAATGAGGACGGTCGACGGGAAAGGTATTGACATTTTCATTGTCATAAAACGTCAACGTCATCATTGTCCCCACAGCTCGTTGCACGTTCAGCACCATCTGAGATCACCGCGTGCTTTTTCCCTGTGTGGCCGCTGAATTCTCCGCCTTCCAAAAGGCTAAGGTGCAGCCCTGCAATCATTCGCTCATTAGCATTTGCAGGTGGAAAGGCCTCCTCAAGAAAGCCTCTCTCGAGCCGGTGTTTATACCAGCTCCTCCCGCACCTCCTATTAGCACGGTTGGCCGCGTGCGGTGTGAAAGAAGTTCAACATACGTGCATCATCTATGCTGGCCAGACATTTGGGGAAAAGTGCGAGTACGACCACACTCTGCCCAAAAGCGTGTGACCTCCATATCGACTGTGGTGCACCCATTTAAATCCATCGTTCTGGGAGATGGGATCAAACTGGTGCCCTAGGGATCGGTGGTCAAATGCGCTAAACATTACAACTACAGAAGCATCCCCTCTGGGTTCCACCATGATACAATCCCAGGAAGACATCCCTACAACAGTGGTAGGCGATCGTGTAGGTAACTATCAACCAGCAATCTTAATTGCTCCCTCTATGTATCTTGGTGATATCTGTCTGCTAATATGTCTGTCTATAGTTTTCTGGTTAGATTTTATGTCGCTATTTCATTATACCTGATGATGATTGCTTGTGTTGCAATCGAAACGTCGTATGCTATTATTTAATTTAATTTATTATTTTATCTTTAGACGTGACTTAACCGAAAGAACCAAATAATTATCAACCAGCATTGTTATCATCAGCAACGACAGTGGTGGCAGTCACTACAGCAACGGTGATAGCAGAACTTACAATCACATCGTTTAACATGATATGCGGGCGACATGAATAATATAATTGTAGTACCCACGACTCAGTCCTGTCGATTCATTCCTCCTACCGGCAGGCATTGTGGATACGAGGAAGCGAGTCGTAGATAATTGCCAGACACTGTGGATTACAAAGGGTCACGGGTAATAGCGCCACAGATATCCACGCTCTGTGGTTGGTACAGTTTATGAGTGCGCTCTCGGCAGATGGCTTGTTAAGGGGAGACGGTGACGCTCATGCCCATGTCAGGCAATCAATATGCTGCGATACTTTTTAGACAATCTAATTTAGGCTATGCTGTGTGCCACTGTCAAAGCTGGGTTGGGACACGTCATGGTGAAGCGTGTAACGTGCAAATCAAACAACATTGCGAAGTGTTTGTACGCGAGTGAAGAAACAGAAAATAAATGTACGTGCCAGCGCCTCTATTGTAATGATTTCCAAGCAACACAATAGGTGTCAGTTCAGATGTTTGTACTGTTTCTCCTTTTGGTTTTGCATTGACAGACACTGAATGGTTTCAGTGCCCTGGGTTGAGATATTACAAGGGTATTACTAGCTACACATCGCCTACATCATTGAACCTCGAGATAGGGTTTAATGTACAAAACAAGCTGACGAGTAGAACGTACAAATCCTTTTTGATTAAACTCTGGCCAGGTGGCTCAGAAATTCAAAGCATAGAGCTGACACCATTAAGATCCTGGGTTTGAAGCTGTGCACTCACCCATGATCAAACCAGAGTATCAGGTGCAGGAGTTTAGTGGTCTCTGCTTGGTCATCTATGGCTGCACAAAGAAACATTTACAAAATTATGTGTAACTGAATGTGTTTATATTCGAATTTTAATAATAAAAAATATATATTTGACTACCATGCAAGTAACAATTCTTTCTTTGGCAGCAGGATTGGCAAAGTGTCACATCCCCCAGTGTGAATACGATGTCACTCGAAGAGCTTTCAGAAGCAGTTCTGTGACATCTTTTTCTACGGAGCATTCTAACACGTGGTTTCAGTTTTCAGTTTCATTTATTTGGTATAGCCCTTTGAGCCATTCGGTCTACACCACAATAATTCTCAGTGGATTTTTTTCGTCTCAAAACGTTAGCACAATTAGGATCCAATGAGCGTAAAAGGATAACAAAATAATTCAAAATATACCACGCTTTTAAAAGGGAATGAAGCCAATAATCATAGTTGCCTTTCTACACCGGCACACTAAAATGTACACTCGCAATTACAAGTGAGTTTTTCTTACGTTGTTTTTATCCTGTAAGGTTTCACTATATTCTGACTGGTATTGGAACTTTATGAGATTTCGAACAAAAAATATTTCAAACTTCAAATTACATTGTTATGAAATTTTCAAAACAAAACAATTAAGGTGACAAGAGGTATTCAATCAAAAAATAGCAGGGTGCCTGGTATGAGCCTGATTGGATCTGAACCCATCGCGATTGATCATGACTTCGATACAACTCTTAGCCAATAGGATCCGATCCACGTTAATTTATTCACATCCGACCGCTCAGCAAAAGAATCCGATTTGACATCAGCTGATCAGGACGGTATGATGCAACCTTAACAAGTCGTATATCGAGTAAGCGAATTTTTGTTTGATTTATTTTCACATAATTCACGAAATACTTTCTGTTTGCTATTGAATCATGTTAAGATCCCAAAGCCAGATGGCGAGATACTGTGTGAGAGCAGACCTCGGAGACGCCAAATGCACAGCAGATGTGGATCTGGTGATAGGAACGGCCTGGTGTGGTGGCTTCAGCAGCCATGGCCGCCGTGACCTCGTGGCGTTGCCTCCTACTCAGAAGCTTAAACTTACAATAAAAAAAAACAACAACAACAACAATAACAATCTGATACTACCCTTAGTGACGGCACCCTCAGCTTCGTACCGGCAGTTAAATTTCGATTTCAAGCTTTCGTGACTGCAGGGATTCATATTCTTGGTTCTTTCGGTAAAGTCACATAGAAGGGAAATAATAAAATTATAAAAATGAAACATAATAAAATAAAATTCTCACGACCTCTCGGCCACAACGCAAGGACGGCTACTTGTGTTGTGGCCGAAACGTGATAATTTTATTTTATATGTTTTATTTTTATTATTCTATTATTTCCCTTCTATGTGACTTTACCGAAAGAACAAAGAATATTCTTACCGGCAGTTGTTGGCAAACCTCGGATTAGCACGGTTGGCGACGTCCGGTGCGAAAAGAAGTTCAATATACCTACATCCAATCATTCCATGGGTCTGCAGTCTTGAAGTAATGCGTAGACGTGCATAGAAAGCCGATACAGTACCAAGTTCTGTGGGTGAAAATTAATAATCATAAAGTTTTCACTAAATGGCTCTAAATAATTAAAGCGAAATAATTGGCTTCTGCATTTGGATCAGAGCCTTGCCATTACTGTTGACAAATGCATTCGGGATTAGTACATGCAGTGCGGCGTGCGGGGAGAGGGGGGCAAATAAAATCAACAACTGAAAACATGCCGAACAATTAAAGGGCTCCAGAGGCTTCGTCCGCATTAAAAACAATTCCCTCTAATTAACAACGCGGCGCGACCAGGGTGCCGGAGTTTACAAGTGATACAGACACTTCAAGGTCAAACGACATTTCAGATAAAGAAAAAAAAATACATTCTCACTGCTAAATACCAACTTGCCAGGTGATTACAAGCCTACACATGGACATGATACCGTATTGAAATGTAATTGCTGGTCTCTCCTATCGTGCAATGGTTATCACAGTGGACCTACAGTCCAGAGGTCGCTGAGTTTATCTCTTAGTTGAAAACTTTGGTGCAAGTTGCGAAAAGCCCCCTCCCCTCCACCTCCGTACACCCAGCATGATAAATGTGTACACCACGGTAAATTAGTGAGTAGGTCACGTGTGTGGTGGGGTCGAGTGTGGGTATCTCTCACCTCTCCCAAGTTGGCTGGCCAGGCTGGAAGAGAAGGCCAGGCACCCTCTTGAGGGGCTTATCTAGGGCCTCGAGTGGAGGCTGTTCTGCCAGCAGTGGCATTAGCAATACCTTGCAGGGCTGCACCTTTGCCGTTACATATTCTGTACTGAATATTCTTAAAAATGCCACTGACGAGACGTTAAACGTGTGACTTTGGCATGGAATCACGTTGTTCATACGTTGAAACAAGTTAAAATGCACGTTTAAATACAACTACAAGAATGAGGAAATGCTTGACATTTATGTAAGCGACTCTTTAGGGTATCACGATATTCTTTCCTAATCGATGTGCGGCTGACAACACAAGGTGCAAGTGGGTTTGAGCGAACTGCTGGGAATTTCCCATTTGCTGTGCCGCTTACGTGATCTATAAAATGTTAGAAGTCACACCGTCAGATTCTAAAGGTCACGTGAACAGAACAATATAAAAAACAATCTTCAACCCCAGAATGTATGGGGTTGTTGTGCCTGTGTGACGGATTTTGCAGGATCATCTCACATGTTGGGCTACTTATAGACACCGATTCCTTTAAAGGCAAAATTATATGTGGTAGAGGTCATACATTCTCGCCTGGTAGAGTGAATTACCCATTTCGGTAACGTGTATAATGCTAGGATGACAACTGATACGCATTTCAGGAACTGATAATAAAAAAAATTGATGTACTTTTGAATAAAAATAATGTGTGTATATATACTGTATTTCCACACACTGCATTTGACTTTTCAGTCAAATATCTTTACGTCGATTATTTTTTTTCTCTCTCAAAATAACGGCTCCCCATGTTTGTATCTCTACCAATGTGTCACAATGAGGTGTTCACCATTATTACAATTCTCCACAATGTGGTTTAATTATTACATATTTCAAATGCAGGTTAGCTCTTAGCAGGTTGGATGTCTACTATTTACGGGAAGGCCTTATTGCCAAATGTTTTTGCCATTTAAATTACACAACTTGGAGCAAAGAGTTCAAATCAGTGAGGCCCTTACTGAATATCTCTGGTGAAAACCCAAGAAACCGAGGTACAGATTCATTATATCGTATTATTAAATCTGCCAAGCAGGCACGGGCGAGTCCACTTGTAGAGACAATCAGTTTGCAAATAAGCAAGAGGTTAAAATCCACCGTTTAGCAAAGACTGCCATGGAAATGAAACAACAATAACAATACTCATCTTAAATAGCTGTTATTAACAATAGGTTGTTACCCTTTCTGGCAATAAAATAGGTGTTAAGATGTTCAAACACAAGAGAGAGGATTGAAGTCTGCATTAGCCACACGTACCTGTGGTGAACATGCAAACAAACATGCCCTGATAATTATCAGATAATTAATTATGTGTGAGCACATCATTGACTCTGATAATTATCAGATAATTAATTATCTGATAATTATCAGAGGATGTTTGTCTGCATGTTATAATAACTGATTGGCCTACACCAGAGACAGCAACCTTCTTTAGGGCCTCGTCTCACCGGTGTCAGACCAGAGAACGCCAAAAGACGGACAGCACAAAGACAATGCACGTTCCAGAGCATGCATAGCTCAGGGTGAGCAGCTATACCATGTGAGCATGTTCACCACAAGCACGTGTTGTTCATGCAGGCTCGATTCCTTGCAAAGGGTTTCTATTTGGTGTTTGGACATCTCAACACCTGTTTTATTGCCAGAAAGGGTAAAACTTATTTTTATTTTCCATGCTTTGAAACTGGCAAAAAGGTCCCATGATCTAGTTCGTATCAGTTCCCCGCTTTGTTCTCTCAGAACGACTGAAGGTTATGGCAAAACACTTGGCGCAGACCCTTATACAGAGAGACCTGAGCCATTGGCAGCTGCCGGTGTGAGAAGCTGCAATACATCGGGCCGAGTAAGTTATTTTTTTCAGATAACCAATAAGCAAACACGTGACAATCCATTGCACGGCCGTACTACTTTATCTTTTGCATCGGAGCCAAAAAAATAAACGTGCATTTGCTTACATACGCTTTGCGTGGATAGCTTGTACAATTAATGTGTGAGCACATCATTGACTCTGCTATTGACATAAACGCCGAATGTTCAGTTCCAGACCGGAGACTTTCCCCTTCCATTCTGTTTACGACCATCTCTCCCTACACAGTCTTCATTTTATCTTCTATTATAAGGTTGCCTCTGGCATAACATTCTACCCATTGTTCCTTGAAAAATCCAAAAAATACCCTCTTGAATCTCTTTGCGTGTGCATGTCTTCACTCTATTTGTACGACAAAGATGTGGACACATGGATACACTTTATAGATCCACATTTTATTTTTATTGGAAAATTGTAAAACATAGAATATCATGCGTATATGTTGTCGACATAATATGTGCATGTTAGTGCATGAAGCCGAGTATAAATGTCCCAGAGTTTTGACTTAAAACTTTCGTGACTGCAGGAATTCTTTAAGGCCTTTAGAAGCTACCCCCCCCCCCTTTTCCTGATGACGACCGCTTGTGTTGCAATCGAAACGTCGTGGTTTTTATTTTAATTATTTCTATCTACGTGACTTTACCGAAAGAACCAAAGAATATGTCCCAGAGTCATCAACAAAATAACTCAAACACCTGACAAGAACGATTAGTAATTTAATGATTTTCAAACAACATTTCTGCTGTTTTAAATTAATTCAGTATTTTTACATCAATACAATGGTAAAATGACACTCCCGAAGACAAAAATAGGATCGATAAAATGTGTACAATTTGCATATCTTAAGCTATTGCCAGCCCCGTATGGCATTTGTAAATTAATTTGCAATAAATAATTTAGCATTTGGTAAAAGGAGCACAATGTGTCTGGTCTTTCACTACATAGCTTCTAAGGGCTATCAACACATAATTTGTGATTCGAAAGCAT